GTATCTACTCTAACCAATCCATGTGTGAGCCGTCTTTTGTTGAACTGACCCCAAATCCAAAATTCGAACAGGTTTGCGCTTAAAATAATGTTAATTCAATGCGACTTATTTAGTGTCCCGAAAACCGAACGGAACATCGCGGAGTCTCAATGATGTTCGGACTGTCGCGAGCAAATTCATAGACAGCTCAATGCACTTCCGTATTTCTTCAAACTTCACACAATACAGAAACGAAACAAATATCTGTAACCCCGTCACAGCTATGAGAATAGTATTTATGCCTGAAGCAACTTCGCCTACAAAGCTAAATTCCCAGGTTTCGCTGAAGCCAAAAGCTGGGAAGTTGTACTCCGCTGTTTTAATCTTATTGGATATAATGAACAGTGTGAATCTATTAACCCAGGTGAGGATCGGACTTCGGACGTGGCAAGCGAGCACAAGACCAAAACGACCCCAATATGACTGATTAGACTGCTCCAGTTTAGCTACATTCGATATACCATACCAAATCTTTGCCAACTTATTGCAATAAGCCACCCTTCATCATCCCAACACATTCGGGCTCCGATTGCTGAACAATAGAGTGTTTGAGACTGAACTGAAATCCATCTGTTCAATCCAAAGGGGAACGGAGTATAATTACGTTCTTCTCACGGGATTTCGGGTTCGATCCTCAATAAGGTCAACGGACACTATTGAATATATCGAACTGAGATGGAATAACGAAACAGTACCTTGTACCTTATCGCTCCAGTTGATCGGTGTTTCAGAAGCGACGAATTCGCGTTGCCATTTCTTTTTATGAACATTGTTTTGTCGAAACTCCCACTTTTATCACTTCATACATGCACACTTATTTTATTCAACGATTTGCCATCGAATCCCAGTTTGTTGTCAACTCATCCAATACGCTTCATTTAGTGATCTTGAACTAATGTGAACTATCTGCCCCATCAGCACAGGAGTTGCACACGTGGGAATGCCTGATGCAATAAACCGAAAACGTACATACTGTTATTCCGTTCAGTCAGACTGAACCGATTTTCCGCTTCCGTTAGAAGCAAGTTCCACTGTCACAAACCGCATGCAACAGAGAAGTTATTGGGTCCAGTTTTCCGTGAACCGACTGGATTATTATGTCCGGTTTGGAGAGATCTATAAAGCTTCTGTTGGTCGACACTCACTGTGATGTAGACTTGCACTATTCCATCAGATCCTGAACTTTGCGTCCTCATCTACAAGGAATAAACAACTCTTATGCTCCATGCCGGTTACGTGGTTTGACTCCTAAAATAAATTACGAAAGGTATATGTCACGGATAAGTTCCGCTTGACAGGAATCAGATATGCGATGCTGTTCGTTGGTCTTTATCTATACGGGACAATTAACACAAATAAGTTTTCAATAAGCGGTGAACAACTCAGGTCCAAACGAGTGAGATGCACACAAGAATAACGTTTGGACTGTCCGAGAAAATTGTTCATTAGGTTATTGTATTCTTGAAATTGTTATGAGGAAGTTTGATATGTAATGAAGTACATAGACAAACGGTCAGTTAGTTAACGTAGGATTTCCAGATCAGGGAAAACTAATCAACGATTGTAGAATGAACTGGTAGTTGTTACCATACTACAGCAATCACCAAGCAATATGACTAGGACCGTCAATAAGGGATGTTAGCGTGAAGAAAAACCAACAAGGTGTGTATATCTTTATGTGCGGGAGACTAAAAATAACAAAAGTTTTGTACTTCCGCCAAAAGGACGGTACCATAACGATGGACCTAATTATCTGTGCCAAAATGGTGAGTGAGAAGATTTTGGTCGGCACTGATCCGTGCATTCGATATCGCTGCAGAACAATCTACGTAACAGTTTTAGCCTAGCGAACCTCTTCATTATGGGGGCTGAGTACAGACTAGGTAAACGAGAACTAATTAGATATGACGGTGTGTAGATAAAGCACATATTCGAACGATCAAGAAGTCCGATTTCTGCAGAGAAGAAAACAAAAGAAATGAAAAAAGAATGCTCCACTTCCCTAGGTGATGCAGCACAGTGGCAAGGGAAATAATGAACACCAGGATAAAGTGATTCAAACACAGCTTCTATTTTAACAGCGGTATTTCCCGAGTATTCTCACTCGGATAGGTAAAACTATGTGAGTTGGTATTTAATAATATTGGGGATTTGACTGGGTTCTGAATTATGAGATAGGATAGCACCACGAATGTGATAAAAATCCAAATCGTCACACAGTGGTTATCAAACCGAATCGTTCATCTTCAGATAAGCCCGGATGTCATGAATTCGCATCATTTTTTTCACTTCTGCTTGTCTATATGCTGAATGAGGCGTGAACTGAAAAGTTAGGATGGACTGGACAGCTGTTGCGACCTGGTTGGGTCTCATCAGCAGTGCGAATCCATCGAACCCAGATCGAACCCGGGACCTCACAGATACAACGCAAGCATACTACTTGACCAATTCAGTATCTAAACAAACCAAATCCTCCATTACTCTCATATTTCTGCTTTTTTATTGCACTGTTCAGTGATAGAAAGCGGTAACCTAAGCCCCGGGATTTGGAGTGGTGAACCACCTAAGGCCCCGATAGGTTAGGTATGGTATTGAACCGGTCGACAGCAAAGCTGCCTACCTGTCCTCGGATGATCCTTTGTTTCGTCACAGGTTGTTTGAACACATCTGTTCAGTGATTATTATTGCTTTTATCAATGTTGTTAATCGTTCGTTTGTAAATCAGCTATTTGATCCACAAAAATGATCTTGATCACGTATTGTGTCAACCCAGTCGTGTATGAATCTGGCACTACTCTTCATCTGTACGAGAATGCATTTTAAAAGAAATCGAAGAAACGAATAGCGAGCGCAGGACAATGATAGTTTGAATAGAAAAAAATAAGAGTACTGATGTAGCTTGGGCACTCACTGTAAGGGGTAAGCAAACGATTTGTTTCTTCCAGTAAATTTGATCAAGACTTGAAAAATGTGTGCTCTTGTGTGCATGAACTCGAAATCCTCAGCTGCTTTCTAAGATCCTCCTTCCACCACACACGTTCTTTTTGAGATACTAAAATAAATAGTTAACTAACCAATAGAGACTCTGTTAAATTACCTCTTGATAAATTCAGTGAGAAAACAAAACAATCAGAATAATTAATTTTACGTTAGTTGGCGAAGAAAGTGAACAGAATGCTTATAACTAGAAATAATTTTGTTCTTTCTTTTCCTAATCAATAGCCCAAGGATTTAAATGGTTGATGCATGGTAAAAGTGTCATTTGCATATGAAACCATGGTTTTGTATTGAATAAGATTACAGCTGCGACAGATTTATTCGTAATGTTTTTTTACATCAAAAAGGAATCTAATGTTCTTCTAAAATAAGTAACTGTGAGGAAAACTGAGAACTGAACACTTTCCAAAGTATGCGTATCAAATACGATCTAAATATCAAGCTATTTTCAGATTGTCTCAGGGGGTGGAGCACAAATACAAGTCTGTTGCCCGCAAATTTGCACTTGTGTCTATTCACGGAGAGGTGAAATCCGAAGTCCATTGGGCGTCGATCGAGTGGGGTTTTGATGAGAGTATACAAACCGAATTCCCCCTGGTGAAAAACCTATTCTATTCGCGATATGCATTGTAGCGATCTAACTGAAACGAAAACTATCTGGTCTGGACCGCAGGACCATATAGCGCTTCTTTTCAGAACCAAAGAACGGTATAATTTATCCGTCTAAAGACTAATTACTTCAAGCATTCAATTATCTATCAAGCCACTTATTTAGTCTTACCTGGAAGGGAAAACCACATGTTTGATCGGTGCGTTACGGACGATGTATGTGATGTAGAGTGAGTGAGAAGAAAGTGATTGATCTAAGTGAGTGAGTAGATTATTACTAAACGATAACGACTAGTTCGTTTGTTTCGTGAGGATTTCGAACGATCTATGTTGAAAACGGGTCTACTTAAATTGTAAATGAAGAGTCAGTCAGAAATTTCAAACACCCAACGCAGTTAATAAACGGGAAGA